CTGCTGCTGCTGCTGCTGCTGCTGCTGCTGCTGCTGCTGCTGCTGCTGCTGCTGTGAACGTTATGGACTCTATCTGAAATCAGTAACATGAGGAGAAGGAAAAAAAGGGGGGGGAGCAGCATACAGAGTGAGAAAGCCAACAAAGAGCAAAGCTATCTAAAGAATGTGGACGTGCAACAACAGTAAATGATCTGGGTTACACAAGATGAAAGTGGAAGCTGGACCAAAGTTGCTCATCAGCAGAAAATGACACTCAGATGAGATGGACCCAGGGCAGAGAGAACCTCAACAGTCAAGGATGAGGCCAAGGGAAGCCAGCTGAGACAGAAGAAGGAGTTCTCCTTGTTGCATGGAAGGCTGGACAGGAAGCTGGCTGGGAAGCAGCATGCCTACACACAACATCTGAAGCTGCAGTTCGTTTCCTCTGCTCCATTCAGGCTCCTCAGCCAGTTGCTTGGTGCATTTTGGTCAGTATGTATGCATAGAAGTACTTAAGACTTGTGTGCACTCATGGGGAACTGTGTGGAATATAACCTGACCATAGGATAGTTTTTATTTCTTTTTGTTTCTGGAACTCTGAGTTCTTGATCTCTCAAAACCTCCCAGCCACAAGCTATGAGACTGCACCTGCCACCTAAAGTAAAGCTACAGTCCATGCTGTAGAGGAACGTGCTCCATGTAAGGTTGGACCCATGGTTCATCTCACCCGGTATTAAAAACCTGGAACTTTGGGGCTATAAGGTTAAGGACTTTTGAAAGGTCTGTTTTGGAAAACAGACTTGGCTGATTGCATGTTGGAAAAATTGTGACTGAGTGAAGGCTACGTAAGGGTGCCCCTACTGCTATCTGATATGATTCAGTTCAGGGAGGGATTTCTGGGAGGAGAAACAAAGTCACCATTGAAAGGTCACCAGCAGGCCTTCCCCAGACTGTGATTTAAAATGAATCAAACCAACTTGACTGTGATCAATGCTTTCAGCTCAGGAAGTTTGGAATGCTGTTCTTTTGTCAGATCATCTGGCCTGATGAAGTAACTTGGTCTGATGTTTTTCTTGGTAGAGGACAAATGGAGGTGGCCACCAAAGTTTGGCTCCCAAGCGCCAATGCCTCCTACACAGAAGAGCAAATAAAATGGGAGTGCACAAAATGGCACCTTCCGGATGTCATTTACCTTAAGAGATTTTTGAAGGATCCCAATCGGAAAACCTTTGGTAGGGTCAGTTGTCAACCACAGCCGAAAATCTGGGTGAGGCTTTGTAATCCTTTCAAGGGCCTTCTCCAGGTCGATCAGCCACTTCACCAAGAGGTGACAATTCTGCAACATGAGCCACTGTCCACGGGTCACCGCGTTGTCCAGCAGCTGCAGTGCAACCTGGGAAAAGAACAAGATGGGAGTATGAGCTGTCTTCACCATTTAACCCAGAAGGGATCTTCAGCCAAAGAAGTGAGGATCCATGCAGAGATCCACTTGAAAGAAGGGCGGTGGGAAGCCATTGGTTCACTTTATGGGTCTATAAGTTACTGAAACTCCAAAGCATATCTAGTGGACTACTATTATCTTCAACACTTACTGTGTTGATCCGCTAGGCAGAGCCCACTGGGAAGAAAGAACCAGCCACATCTATGGTCTTCTGCCCAGTTTTTAAAACTTAAACCTAAATTACCAGGTGAAAAATCAGTAACTGAGCAAGAAGAGGCTGGCCCATAGGCAGGCTGACAGAAGCAAAGAGGCATAACAACACTGGAATCAAATATAGTCCTTCCCCATATTAAACAGACTGACATTGGGGAGGCAAAGAGAAACCCCCAGCAGCCCCATCCGGCATGGCCACCAACACGTGTGGTCATTCAACAACATCTGGGGGACCTGCAGGTTCTCCACTGCTGATAGAGAAAACAGGACTTCACGCCCCAAGGAAGGTAAAGCCATTAACCAGAACTTTCTAGCCAAGCCTACCTTCTCCTGCCCCTGGCCCATCGCCAGAAATTTCAGCCGGTTCCCTCCAAAGCCTGTCCGATCGGCCAGTTTCATAAGGTCACTGGCGGGGTCAGAGCCAGGGCTTAGAATGAAGACAATGGGTGAATTTGGGGTACTCTGCTCAAAGATGGCCTCGAAGCTGATCACCGGAGGTTGGACATACCTGAGGAGGTGAAGGGGGACGAGAGAGAAGGGGGAGAGTCAGGGACTCCCTCTGGTGGACCTGGAACTCAGATGTTCTACTGAAAACAGAGAAGAGGCACACTTACTTCACACCCATTGTGAGAGTGACATAGTCAGTCACAGCACGATAGACCCGATCCACCCGAAAGCACCGTAAAAGGAGCAGCTTTTGGAAACTGGTGAGGCTGTCACTATAGTGTAAGGGAAACGGAGTTTGTTCCAGAGCGTCAATATCATACCACTGGGAAGGAAGGAGGGAAGGAAGGAAGGAAGGTCAAAGCAGCATTCAAAAGGTATTCCATGTTGTTTCCAATAGGAAGACAAAGGACAAGGTTCATACCCTACAAGTAGTCCTCACTTAACGATCATTTGTTTAGTGACCATCTGAAGTCACAATGGTGCTGAACAAAGGGACTTACAACTGGTCTTCACAATTACAACCACCACAGCACCCCCACGGTCATGTGATCGCGATCTGGGTGCTTGGCAACCAGCTTGCACTTACAACAGTTGCAGTGTCCCGGGGTCACGTGATCGCCATTTGCGACCCTCCCAGCCAGCCTCCGGCAAGCAAAATCAATGGGGAACCATGTGATTCACTTAATGACCACGTGACCCCTGCAAAAATAGGTTGTAAAATCGGGTGCAACTCACTTAATAACCGCCCCGCTGAACAACACATTTTCTGGTCCCTATTGTGGTTGTTCACTGAAGCAATGAGCATGAAACTGAGCAAACTCAGGGAGGCAGTGAAGGACACGAAGGCCTGGCGCAATATGGTTCATGGGGTCACGAAGAGTTGGACACGACTTAACGACTGAACAACAACAAATTGTGGTTGTTAACTGAGGAATACTTGTATATTAAACCAAAACCAAATGTGAAGGTTTAGCCAGCTCACTGTGGCTTAATCACTACACAAAGTTAAACTCACCACTTCTTAGTGCAGTGTGTAAACCAGGTCCATTATAAGAGTGTTCTCAATGTCTTCTATGGTTTATATACCCACCCTACTTCCCAAAGGAAGTTAAATTTGCCTCTTTGATTCAGCACAACCCCCTTAGAAAGCCCACTTCCCCTTACTCAGATTGGAACATTCAAAGATACGAGAAGGAGGAAGGTGCTCACGGCTTTCCAATCACTTAGGTTTTCTTCTAGGTCATACGGAAGACTACCAAAATTTTCTGGAAAGAGGTCAGAGACACGGATGATGTCCTCCCAGCCTTGATCAGAAAGCCAGAGGCCTGGCTTCTTCCGGGCACTCTTCTCCAACGATATATTGCCTAGAGACAAGGGAAGACATCTGGACCAGACCATCCGTGTGCTGGATGAACAAGCTGCACCCCGAATAATTCTTTTGGTAGGCGTGGATCTTTCCTTAAATTGAAAAAGAACTGAGCTGTTTATCTTACTGCCAAAGAATCTCAGATGGTTTGGGCCACTGATTTACTGGAATTCCTTCAACCTGATAAATATTTAGTTCTAAAGTAGGTTAATGATGGCAACCTTATAAACAATACAGAAAACCTCATAAAAACTGCCATTTGGTGTCCTGTGTCTCTTGTATGTTAAACGTCTAGTTTTTTAAAACAGGATCTACCTTAAGGGTTTGTTTTTTTATGCATCTGACCTCCAGTCAGGCCTACCGAGTTGGATTTTTCTATTGGGATTAGCTCTTTCATTTCTTTCAAGCCTACAGGATTGAAAGATGGAGTATAAATTGAGTCAATAAATAAAGTGAGCGGCCCTGCTTTGAAGGGTAATAAAATCTGAAAGTCCAAACCACTGCATAAACAAAGACATCAACACCAGGCCCAGTTCTGAGAGTACATTTTGTCTGAGCCTTGGAAAAGTACCCAGATACCTTTCAAAAAGAAATCCAACTCTTCCTGAGGAACTCTGTGATCAGCCTGTTCAATCTTGATGGTCATGTTGAAGGAGAAAAGCAGCTTGTGCTTCTCAAACAGGCCTGTGAATGAAAGTGTCATGGCCTCTATTAGCAGAGACAATTCTTTCCAAGCCCATGCTGGGTAAAAACATGACCAAATAGAGAAACTCTTCCTTATTTCAAAACCAGAAATGTCACTTTTGGGGGAGCTCTGCACAATTGTTCTCTCACCATGGTTTTCACTTACAGCTTCCAGTTTGATCAGGAATGACCACCTGAAACTCCAAGACTCTAAGGACTATGTTCTGCCCCCCACAACTCCCTCCAACCACTGGCAGAAAACCTTCATGAAGCCATAGAACAAGGTGAATTTACACTACAAAACTAAAGCCCTAAAAACTCCTCTCAAGTTGCCAAGAACAAAGTTGAGCATCATGGCCTTGGCCATTCACGTAAACCGAAAACTGCTTTGCAACATCATCTCGCCGATGTGGGGTGCACCCTCTCTCAAAACGTTGCACATGGCCTCAGTCACGAACAGAATGCCCTGCCCAAGCCAGACTAACCTGTGCAGCCATAGTTGTAAATATTAAAAGTCAACGTGTCCATGATGTTGCGCAATCTCTTTGCAAGGATGGTATCGGGCATAGACTTCCGGAGCGAGAGGCCAAAGACGTCCAAGAAGGCAGCCAGGGAATACTGGTACATGGTGTTGACCAAGGCCATTTCAGACAGCACAAAAAACAAAATGGCTCCTCTTTTGGCTGCGGGGCGGTAGCCATCTCGCAGTTTGTCGATGTCGATGGCTGTTTTTTCAGCCAGTTTGAGTTTCTCAGATACCTAGGTTGCACAAGGAAATGAGTCCTCTTTAGAGGCAGAAGCTGTTGCATTGAACTTAAGATTATGAAGAAAGGTGAACAGCAGTCAAAATAGGCATTCTGAAAGGCAACGGAAACTTCAGTAGGAATAAACTAGTATTGTGCTTCAGACTCAGTATGAACTCATGTCTCCTGACAGGGAGATATTTATTTTCACACAGGCAAAATGAAAGAAAGGAGGCTGCTCTGAATCCCTCTAAAAATAAACTTTCTTTTTTACATTTCAATTTATGTCTTTATTTTACAGTTTATGTCTACTCCCAACACATTAATATTCAAAAATCAAAAACACCCCTTCTGTAACCCAGAAGCAGCAGAAGAAAATACCCCCACACAAAGAAAAATATTTCAAACATTAAAAAAATCCAATAGCTGATTAAAGCAGCAAGTGAACAATTACACACACCCACAGCATTTCTTGAAAGCCCTCCCCAACCTTCTGAAATTTGTTAGCAAGGAAATGAAACAGGCCTCCTGGATTAGAAGAGAATGCTTTACACTCCTCCAGAATTTCACACCATCTAGCCAAGAAAACTCTCTTCTGATCAATTCTCTGGATCTGACTGGATCTAAGACCCTTTATGAGCAAGGCAGAAGAAAAGCCCACTGGGTTGGGAAGAGGAGCCGCTGCTTCAAGGATAAATGGCAACCAGCTCTTTCAAGGAAGTTCACCAGGTACTTCTCACAAAGGTCAACATCTAAGATTGGTCTGGAAGGGGTAACCTAAGGAAGTCATTTGGTGCAACATTTGCAGGACTATCCCTGGAGTCAGAGTGATGTTCTTACTTCATTAGCCTTGGCCTTTGTCTCCTCCAGGGTGTGTACCAGTTCCACATTGTCCAACATGTTCCCTGTGGAGGTAGCCAATTCACGGAGAAGGGAGTCTTCTAGGTCTTTCAGCAAATTTTTGTTTTCGCTCGTTTCTTGGATGAGGTGTTCTCGCTGCTCTTCCAGTTCACGTCTTTCAAACCCCACAATCACGCTAAGCAGCTGGTCTTCCAAACCTTTCAGGGTAACTGGGGAAGGAGGCATTCAACAAGGACACAGTTAACTACGTTTCCAAGAGCATCAGAGAGCATCTAACTTTCTTTTAATAATGGAAGTGTGCTTGACTATTATTTCAAGAGCCCCCAAACTGCTGCTTGATTATAGCTACTCTGGAAGAAAAGGTGAGTTGTGTTATATCCTGTTGTTCCATGAAGGGTTCTGAGAATGGCAGATAAGCAAATTTAAAATTGCTCAGTTCAAAAGAAGATCAAGAAAGATGGAGAACTCAAGGGTGAAAGAGAATAACTCTCTAAGGCCTGTTAACTCTATTCTCAGTTGTGATCAGCTCCTGCAGTTTGAAAGTTGCTGACATCCATTACTGCAAGGGAAGGGATCAAATTGGTGCCACAGACATTAAATGCTGTTATATGGATGATTTTCTCCTTCAGTACTACAGGATTGGGTCTGGCAGAAGAAAGAGGAGGAAAAGAAAGAAGAGGAGGAGGGCCTGCTAGTAGATTGAGAGACTGGCTCACCTGTGTAGTTGATGACCATGGCTTTGCCAAATACTGATGGCGAATATTTAGGATTAGCCAGCTTGGTGTTCAAGTACAGCTTGAAACTGGCATCATAGTCAACCTCCTTGTCCCCAAGAATAATAAATGTCCGGCCCTGGGCACATTTGATGTTTTTTTCTAAGACGTTATCAATGACCGGGTCAATGTATTCATCCACATCATGGAACAAGAAAGGATTCCCATATTTTATGGCCATTTCCAGTTGCTTAAGGAAATCAGGATCATTGAACGAAGCCATCTGAGAGAAGGGGCAACATACAAAAGTCAACATGCCCAACAGCTGATGTGCTGTGGTCATCCCTTTCGCTCCCAAATCCTAGCTCGACCTAATCTATGAGTCTCTTCATTAACACAACAGGCAAAGTTTAATTAAATCGGAACCCCACTATTGGGCTGCTGTACAACCAGGCTGGTATGGTTGGTTTTAGTTGATGGAATGAAATACAGATGAACCCAAATTTATGCCTGCTCTGAAAGTACAGCTCAAAGAATGAGGTGGCTCGTAAAAGGGAAATTAGTCACTTGCTGTGAACAGAGAGAACATGTATAGGAAAGGAGAGACCATGTTCTAAATAGGCCAGCCCTTGTTTTCCTTTGAGATGGGTTTGCCTACGACACCGAGAAAAACATGAGTGGTCAGATCAGCACCACAGAGATCACCTTTGACTTCCACCCGTGTCTACTTCGGTATATTTCATCAACTTTACACATCCTGGCCCTTTTTCCTTGGGGCAATACGCCTGCCCCTTCTACTCTGTCCAGTTCTTGACCTGATGGCCTCACCCTGAGGTTATTTTTCTCTTCTTTCCTCTTGATCCAGTTTAAGGCTTGCTGCTGTGGGTCAATGCACAATGGGAACCGGCTGGCTCGTATGGTCAGGATCCCATTTTGAACAGAGAGCTCATCTGGGGGCAGACCTTGAGATCCCCATCTGGAAGGGAAAAAGGGGGACTTCTTTTTTTCAAGGGACTTCTGATCCAAAGGTAAACTATCAACTGAAAAAACTTCAGAAGTTTGCAGAAGTTAGGCAGAAGTTTGGAAATGACTGGATTGTAGCTATGTGTTGCAAGGAGCAATGACGGTATGGAAGTAGGCACTGAGAGCTGGATGAAGGCTGGGCTGATGAGTGCCCCAACAGCTGGGGAGCCCCAAGGGGAGTGGAACAAGCTGTAGGCAGAGAACAGCCCATGACTGAAAGGGAACAGGATCCTCTCTCTGAAGCCAGAGTATGCCAAAGCACATGGATTCGAAAACTGGCACAGGACATACCGACTAATCTCAACGTCATCGGTCAGGAGGTTTTCTAAACGGAAGGGCTGGCTGAGTGGAATCTCCCTGGATAGGATATCTGACTGCCACACATCTTTAATCATCTCATCCCGGAACTCCCAGGTGAAGGCCCCTTCGTAGCTCAGGAAGGCGGCACACAGCAGACAATCTCCCAGCAGCTTCACCTGCCGCTTCTTGAGTTCCTCCAAGTCGTTCAGCCACCTGGTTGAAACCAAATGAACCCCACACTCCACTGGTCAATCAAAGGCTGACCATTCGTTATGAGATGAATCTCAGAATGGGTTTAAAGGACGGTTCGGACACCCTCTGCGCATCAGGAGGTCACCCAGGGAAGGAAGGGTGGAAACAGCAGCAGAAAGGAATCCACTGCTGTGGAGAACATGGGCCTGGCCAGGGACAGGCTCTCCTCCAAGGGAGACTCAAAAACCATCTTTGATGGTTCCAGTCCTGCTTGGGCACACCTCGAGCCTTGGAGCTCAAAACTCTCCAAAACCTCAGCTCCCCACTGCAACCCCCTAGATCTCTCCATTTTCCCTATTGGAGAAGTCTAGTCAACGGGGCATCTCTTGCCTGACATTTTCCGATCCCAGGCCGGAGATCAGTTTGTCTGCGGCAATGAGCCGGCGTTCCATAATCTCCGCTTCCTCCTGGAGCTGCTGCTTTTCCCTTATCGCTGCCTCGTACTTGTCTCCCAAGGCTTTCAGCTCGTTCTGGATGGCTGTCAGCTCAGCCTGGATCTTCTCCAGCTCCCGTTTGCTTAAGAAGAAATTCCGCTCCAGTCTGGCCACCTGCAAGGGGGAGAAGGAGAAAGCTCACCAGACAGCAATGCTACAGGCATTTGGCCCTGCCAGTCACAAACCCTTCCCCAGCTTGTACCGGGTGCTACTATTTAGTTATATGGATTATTTATTGCAAACATTTTTACACTGCTCCAATTATTTGATTCTAAGCAACTCCCAAGCCAAAATTTAAAAAAAATAAATCAGAAGGTGATACAGGCATAAAACAAAAGAGTAGCGTAAACCACCGAATCAAGTCATAACAAATTCCTAACAATTCTCCTGGGGAATGCTTTTCAGTGGATTCCCACTCAGAGCAGGAGATTGGATCAAAGCTTTAATGCCCCCTTCCGGTTCTAGGATCAGGAAAACTGTCTTTCTCACACATGCACCCATTGGTTGCATCACAATCCAGCTGAGGCCTCCAGCAACTACTTTCAGAGAAGAATCGGCTGGATCATTCTTCTATCCACCTCCTCTTTGGGGCCTCCTTCCCATATCTGCTCATACCTTTTCTCTCTTTGGTTTGACGTCTTTGGCCACATCACAGTAACTCATGACGGCGTCCACAAACTTCAGCATCCCCAAGCCAGCGCGACTGACAACTTCCATTTCTTCAAAGGTAGTGTTTAAATTCTTCAGCAAACCTTCCAGGAGGCAAGTATCTCTATTAGTGTGATAGGCCACGTGCTGTTTTATGCAGAAAAGTTGCAAACTTAGGCTTTAAACCCTGAGTTAGCTCTGATCAATTCCATATTGCTTAAGCAGGGATCTGTTGAGAAGTTTGTTGGGTGGGGATGCAACAAAGACATCGAAACGATCAAAACAGAAAGGTATGATTGGTTCTGCTTGCCAGTCTATCTCTCTTCTTCCTTCCAACCTGTTAGATGATCCAGGGAGGACAAGACATCCAACAGGAGCAGGAGGAGGGTCTCTACGAAGAAACATCAAGGATCTGTTCCTGTTGGACAACCACTATTCTCACCTCAGGATCATCTTACAAAAGAAGGCTCCATGTTTTGCCTCTGGCTTTGGGGAACATGTATATATTAGGATGTCACTAATCCAGGACATCTGTGATATGTCTATACCTTCAAAGATCAGCATCGTGCAAGCCATGGTATTCCCTGTGACGCTCTATGGAAGTGAAAGTTGGACTTTGAAGAACCAGGAGAGGAAGAGTATTGACACTTTTGAACCTTGGTGTTGGAGAAGACTCCTGAGAATACCGTGGATAGCCAAGAAACCAAATCAATGGATCATCAAACAAATCAACCCAGAGGTCTCACTCAAGAAACAAATGACCAGGCTCAAATTATCCTATTTCGGACACATGATGTGAAGACCTAGCTCTTTGGAGAAGGTTCTAATGCTGGGAAAGGTGGAAGGAAGAGAAGAGGAGGATGATCAGCAGCAAGGTGGATGGACTCACAGTGGTAATGGTGAATCATTGGAAGACGTAAAGGTTAGGGACAGATTGTCATGGAGAACATCTACTGTATCTAGGTGGTTCCTAAGAAC